TCAGAATGAGAAAAGGCAATTTTAGTTAAGAGCAATAGCAAAAAGGAGAACAGCAAATAGCTTTAAACATTGCTAAGAATGCTAAACACTCAGAAAGATTCTAAGAGCTAAACCAGAATTCAGGAAAGGAGCGGGAAATATAGGAAATGCAGGACAATGAACAAATATAACCCATGATGATAGACATAAACTCTAACAGAACAGTAGCCACAGTAAATGTAAACAGACCTAAGGCAGTTGCATGGATAGTTACTTGGACTGGGTGACAAAACGAAATCTAGCTAATAGCGTTTAACAGAGACCCGGCTAAAACATAAAAACAAAGGGAATTTAAAAGCAACATAGAAAATCTCCATGGTGAGTACTAAGCAAAAGAAAGTTGGTACACTTAAAACAGATTAAGATGCTTTTAAATTTTATGTGCATTTTGCCACAATTTTAAAAAATAATAATAAAAAAGAAATTTGGGATTGCTCTATCAGTCAAAATTGACATTTTGGCAAAGAGCATTATTTAAGATCAAAAGGACCACTACATAGAGCTGGACTCACCAGGAAGACAAAACAATACTGAACTTGTTTAATAAAACAGCGGCAAAACATATAAAACAAAAGTTGTGAGAACTCTAGCTGTAGGGAGAAATCTATAAATCTTGAACAATCCAGCTTCATGGTAGAAGATTTTAACATGACTCTCTCACTAATTAATATATCAAGAGACCATGATTTGAACAAAGAACTCTGCATCCAAAAATTACCAGACAGATATTATTCTCAAGTACACAGGAACATTTATAAAAACTGAACATTTATTAGACCACAGAGAAAATTCAGCAGACATCAAAGAATGGACATCATATAGACAACATTCTTACTACAGTGCAACTCTCTTAGATATCAATGCCAAGAGATGACAACAAAACTCCATTTTCTTGAAAATGTAAAAAGCATAGCTTTAAATAACTCACAGTTTAAAGAAAAATCATAAGGAAATTCAGAAATTAAGAACTTAGGCAATAATGAAAATTACTTCATACCAAAATTAACAGATGAAGTTAAAAAGATCCTTAGAGAAATACAGAGCCTTAAATTACATTAAGAAAAGGAGGCCAAAAATTAATGAGCTAAGAATTCAACTCAAGAAGTTAAAAAAAGAGCAATAGAAGAAGCCCAAAGAATATAAGAAAAAGGAAGGAAATGAAAAGAATGAAATTAATAAGTTGGAAAATAATGATACAACAGAAAGGGTCAATAAGCTAAGAGCAAGTTTTTTGAAAATATTAATAAATAAAAATCTTTAGCAAGACTGATCTAGAAAAAAAGGAAAAACAATAATAAAAAAATCTGTGATCATAAAGGGGGCATCAGAAAGTTTTTTTTTAAAAAAAGAGAAAGAGAGAAGGAATATTAGAAAATAACTTCTTGGCCACAAGTATGAAATTTTAGACAGACTAGGAGATTTAGAAAAATATATCTTGCCGAAACTGATACCAGAAAAATGCCAGGAAACTTGAATAGAGCTGAACTATTGATGTCATGGACTCGGTAGTTAAAAATCTTCCCAACTACAAAACCTGGGTGCCAACCTTCTACAAACTCTTACGCCAAATAGAGAAAGAGGAAAGACTCTTCAATTCACTTTGTAAGACAAAGGATTAAAAACTTGAGCATAACTGTGGTAACACATTTGAAGGTGAGGAAACGGAACCTCAAAGTTTCACAGGCCTGTGAAGAAAACAGAACAAAGATCACAGAATAAAGAGAATGACACCTGTGACTACATACTGGATCTTTAAAATATACACAATAATGAAAGTCTAAACACTTGCTTTGTTAAAGGACCTCTCTGATTAGTTTGTGTCTGTAACATATGTAGTATGTAGAGTTTATGCCAGTAAATGTAATCAAGATCGGTATCTTCCTCATGCATTCATGTAGAGTATCCATGGAGCTTTTCTGTCAAGAGTAACTATTTTACAACCTTAAATATATATATATATCCAAACCATATCCACATGCAAAAGAACGAAGTCAGACCCATTCCCAAACATAGAAATAAACTCCAAGTGGATCATACACTTAAATGTAAGAGCTAAAACTGTAAGACTCTTAGAAGAAAATATAGAAGTAAATCTTCATAATCTTGGGTTAAGCAAAGACTTTTTAGATATGACATTAAAAATATAAGCAACAAAATAAAAAATAAATCAGACTTCACAATATTTAAAACTGTGGTGCTTCAAAGGACACCATCAAGAAATAGAAAAGACAATTCACAGAACAGGAGAAAATAACTGTAAGCCATGTATCTGAAAAGGGTTTAGAATCCAAAATTTATAAAGAAGGATTATAAATCAACAATAAAAAAATACATAACCCAATTCAAAAATAGGCAAAGCTCTTGAACAGACATTTCTCCAAAGAAGATATACAAATGACCAGTAAATATGAAAATATGCCCAATATTACCATTGAGGAAATCCAAACCAAAAGCACAATGAGATGCCACTTCACACACACAAGAATGGCTATAATCAAAAAGTGAGACAATAACAAGGATGAAGTTGGAACCCTCATACATTCTTGGTAGAATGTAAAATGGTGCAGCCATGTAGGAAAACATTTCCTAAAAGTTAGATGTAGAGTTACCATATGACCAAGCAATTCCACTCCTAGGTATATACACAAGAGAAACAAAAAATATGTGCACACAAAAACCTGTACATAAGTATTCATAGCAGCATTATTCATAAAAGCCAGAAAGTGGGAACAACCTAAATGTCAACTGATGAAAAGATATACAAAAGGTGGTATGTCCATAACTAAATATTATGCAGCCATGAAAAGGAATGAAATACTGTTACATGTTACAACTTGGATGAAACTTGAAAATATTACATTACATGAAATAAGCCAGACACAAAAGGTCACATCTTCTTAGGAGTCCATTAATGTGAAATGTTCAAAATAGGGACATCCATAGAGACAGAAAGTAGGTTAGTGTTGGGGGAAAATAAGCAGTAATTGCAAGTGGGTACACGGTTTCCTTTGGGGATGATGAAAATGTTCTAAAATTGTGAATATACTAGAAACCATTGACTTGTACACTTTAAATGGGTGAATTATACAGTATGTGAATTGTATTTAAACAAAATTGTTAATAATAAACCATATAGATGGTGTCTGGCAATTGACCAAATTGTGCTCTTGTTAAAACTTTTGTCTCTGAGGAAAAACTGCGCTTAAAGCACGTTTCAAGTGCTGAGTGCCACCCGAAGAGGACAGTTGTCATCACTTACCTAGGCCCAAAATAGAAGTGAACCTTGGTGTCATCGCTCCTCTTTAATTGACCCCCCCCCCCCGGCATCTCTTGGACATGAGCCACACCACATACCACTTGGAATCTGCTAAATGCACATTTCATCACTAAGAATCTAAAGATTCTTAAAAACCCCAAGGTTCTCCCTTAGATTTTATAGATGAGGAAACTAACCTAGAAAGGGGTTAAAACTTTACTGCCAAGAGCCCCACAGCAGTTTCCAGAAAGCTGGGATTACAGCCTGTCCCCTCTGCATCCCTTTTTCTTCCTACAGATTTTTTACAGGGTTTCTGTGCCCCTCAAACCGGTCTTCCAGGCACAGTCAGAACTGAACTCCTTACAGCCTCAACATCCAGGACTGGAGCTAGCAGGGGGTCAGGAGGCCACAATTCAGGGGCAAGAGAGGGGGCTGCTGAGGGGAGAAGATGGGGCTGGTTTCTGAGAAGGCAGCATGACCCCTGTTCCTGTAAGAGCAGGAGACCCAAGTGGGGACATAAACTCAAGGGATGAGCCACCCCATGGTGTCACATGTGGTCTGGGGCCTGTGGGTATTTGTTCCTGTCATGTACACAGTTGGAAACTGAACTCATGAGAGCAGTACCCCCCGCTTTACCCAGCTGTTGCCACTTCAGACTAGTGTGACTTTGACCAGCAGAAGTTTTCCCTGTGAGTCACTCAACCCTCGGAAACTTCACCCAACCCTGACCTCAGGTAAGAAAAAGGATGAAGACAACCCGGGGCCTCAGGTCCCACCCATTTCTCTCCCCAGCAGGGTCCCAGAGATACCCACCCACCCATCCTGAGGCTGCAACCTCAGGCCAGGGCTCGGGAGGAGGCTGGGGACCAGCACGGCCACTGGCTCTCCTCACAAAGCGAGGAGCCGGAGACCCTCTCCTGGGGTACAGATCTGGGGCTCAGAGCCTGGGCAGGCTGGGATGTAGGCATGGGTCAGGAGGTCTGAACAATATTATTTTTCCCCGCTGCTTGGGGAGGGACCATACATATTAACACTCACTGGGGGCAGGCACTGTTCTAAGCACTTCACACAGAGTAACTCCTCGACCTTCACAACCTACAGGGTCTACATTTTTACTCTGCCCATTTCCAGCTGAAGAAACTGAGGTATAAAGAGGCTAAGGAGCAGCTAGTGAACCAGACAGGTCCAAGCCCAGGCAGCCAGGCTCCGGAGCCCTGCACTGAGCCCTACTCCGTCCTGCCTCTTCGGGCTCAAACATGTGATGCTGTGGATCAGCAGCAGGGAGATGCCCCTGCTAGCCAGTTCATCAACACCAGCACTGGACCTCAAAGTCCCCGGGCCCTTGTGTCTGCTTCACACAAGCCTCACCTGTTTGCACGGGGCCAGCCCCCGCAAGCAGCTCTGACTAGCAGATGGGCCTCTGGCCCTCACAGCTTGCTTCCTGAGGGCTGTCAGCAGGGCCGGATGAGTTGGTGAGGACAGGGTGGGTGCTAGTGGGAGGGGGGAGAGTTGGGGGAGCTGTGACCACAGTTGGGGGGCGGGGCAGGAAGCTGAAGTGATGTGAACCGTGGCCTGGGTGATGAGCTGTGTGGTAAGCCTGCCTGGGGGGCTGATACCGCCATTTCAGGAGCCTCTTGTGGGGAGAGAGGGTGTCTGCACAGGAGCATCTCAACTGATAGGACACCAGGTAGGAAGTCGGGGGTCAGGAAGGCTGGGGGCCCCTGGGTGGTGGGGAAAGAGAGGCTTGGGAGGAGGCTGCTTCATTTGGGCAAGAGCCTGACGGAGCAGGAAGAGCTGCGACCCATAAGACAAGAGACTTGGTTCCAGACTGTGCCATCTCAAATGCACCAGATGGCCTCAGGTCCACCCTGGGCCTCACTCAGCTTCCGTGTATATAAAATGAAGTCAGAGCACATAGTCTCTATAGCCCCTTCAAATGCTAACAGTTAAAGCTTCTAGAAAGCTTAGACAGGCCCCCTGGGAGATAATATGATGAGGGCCAGGATGGAGGCTGAGTTCCTTAGATTAAGGTTATAAACTGCTGGCCTCCTAAATGGGATACACAGATGGCCTTTGAAAGACTCCCCTCTTCCTGTTGACTTCCCTGGGGCCTGCTGTGTTGCCTGGAATCAGGTCACTCCTTTGGGCAAGGGGTGGAAGGTTCACTAGAATGAGGGCAAGTTCCTGCTCTTCACAATCCCCTGTGCCTCAGAGAAGCTGCTGCCCCTGGCAGGTGCTGGAGAGGAAAGGCCTCTGAGGAGTTCAGTTTGGATAGGGGTACAGAGAGGAGACTGCAGGTCATAAACAGGCACAGGGAAAGTCTCCAGAGCCACTCAAAATGAGGAACTCTCTAGCTAACCATTGTTTAACAGTTGACCAATAGTAGGAATAGGCAGAATTCAGCAGAGCATGGCAGAGGGTGTCCAAGAGAAGTGAGCATCAGGAGATCTGGAGAGCGAACTTACAGGCCCCTCCTCACATAGGACCTAAGGTCACAGGCCTAACAGCAGCCTTTATTCTAGAATTCTGGCTGATATTCTTCCATGAGGCTCAGAGAGGGAAAATGGGGAGAAGGGCCATGAACAACCTTGTTTCTTTTCCAACTTCATGGGAGAGACAGACAGACAGAGACAGAGGATGGGGCTGAGGAAGCCTGGCTTGTTCTGGGGCCCAAAATGACACCTCCAGAATCCAGGCTTCTCTAGATCCGTTAGGTTCCCAGGACCCTCCAAAAGTCTGCTGCAGCTACTCTCAGTCCCCTTCTCTGTATGCAGAGCCTCCTCCCCACCAGCAGCTGCTATGGTCTTGGGGACCAAGCCATTGATCTGGATCCCCACTGGGCCTTAAATAATGAAATCCTAGCAAGGGGCTCCCCATGGCTATATGACCTTGGGCAAGTCATTTCCCATCTGGGCCCTTCTGTGCAATGTGGGAGGTGGACCAGGTTTGTGAAGGCCATTCCAGCTCTGACATTTAGTGACTTAAGAATACAGCATTCCCTCCCCATTCCATAGGCCCTGATAGTCCACAGTTGGGGGGATGGGTCAGCCAGCCATCCTTCATGCCTCTGCCCACAGCTTCCTGGAGCCCAAAGGCCCCTGTCTCTGCAGCTCCATGGCCACCTGTGTGCTCCTCCCAGGCCTCCTCCTCCTGCTGCTGCCTCCACCAGCCCCAGCCCCCTGCCACACAGCTGCCCGATCCGAGTGCAGGCGTGACCGCAAGTTTGTGCCTGGCTCGTGGCTGGCGGGGGAGGGTGTGGATGTGACCAGCCTCAGGCGCTCAGGCTCCTTCCCAGTGGACACACAGCGCTTCCTGCGACCTGATGGCACCTGCACCCTCTGCCGCAATGACCTGCAGCAGGGTGACCTCCAGCGCCTGCCCCTGGCGCTCACCGACTGGAGGGCCCAGGGTTCAGGCTGCCGGCGCCACGTGACCAGGGCCAAGGTCAGCTCCACTGAGGCTGTGGCCAGGGAGGCAGCGGGCAGCATCCGCAATGATTGGAAGGTGGAGCTGGACGTGACTCCCAAGCCCAGCATCAATGCACGAGTGGCTGTGGCCGGCTCGCACTCCAAGGCAGCCAACTTCGCTGCCCAGAAGACCCACCAAGATCAGTACAGCTTCAGCAGTGACTCTGTGGAGTGTCACTTCTACAGGTGAGCATTAGGGGTCAGGGCAGAGGGCCTTGGAGAAGGTGTGGGAAACCTGGAGCAGTCCAGGAACTCTGGGATGACTGCTTCCATGGAGAAGAAACCATAGTCCTGGTTCTCACACACCAGGTGGCACAGGGTCCTGTGGCCTCCTGCCCTGCGGCCCTGACTTGGAAGCACCCAGAGAGAGAACAGGTAGAGGGGAAGCATGCAAGGCTTGGAGCTAGGCCACCTGGGTTCAAGTTCTAGTTCTGCCACTTTATGACCTTGGCAATCTCAAGGGGGGCTAGTGAATGGGGAAAATGCTACTTACCGCTGGCCCACATGGTGTTTTGCTCATCCTTCACAGCTTTCACCTGGTGCACACCCCTCCACTCCACCCCGATTTTATGAGGGCCCTCAGGAGCCTGCCCGCCCACTTCAACACGTCCAGTGAGCCTGACTACCTCAGGCTCATCTCCAACTATGGCACCCACTTCATTCGGTCCATGGAGCTGGGCGGCCAGATATCAGCCCTCACAGCCCTGCGCACCTGCGAGCTGGCCCTGCAAGGGCTCACGGCCAATGAGGTGGGCGACTGCCTGGCCGTCGAGGCCCAGGTCAGCATAGGTGGCCACGCCAGTGCCTCATCGGAGTTCAAGGCCTGTGAGGAGAAGAAGAAGCAGCACCAGATGCTGACCTCCTTTCACCAGGCCTACCGGGAACGCTATTCCGAGGTGGTTGGTGGCCACCACACCTTCATGCATGACCTGCTGTTCGGGAACCAGGCTGGGCCTGAGCAGTTCTCAGCCTGGGTGGGCTCGCTGCAGGAAAACCCCGGCCTGGTGGACTACTCCCTGGAGCCTCTACATGTGCTCCTGGAGAAAAGGGACCCGCGGCGGGAGGCTCTGAGGCAGGCAGTAAGCAAGTATGTGACAGACAGGGCACGCTGGAAGGACTGCAGCCGACCCTGCCCCTTGGGGCAGTATAAGAGCCCCCACAACCCGTGTCAATGTGTGTGCCATGGCTCAGCGGTCACCAACCAGGACTGCTGTCCCCGGCAGAGGGGCCTGGCCCGGCTAGAGGTTATGAACTTCCTGGCAACAGGTCTATGGGGAGACAGCATCAGTGCCACAGACGCCTATCTGAAGGTCTTCTTTGGAGGTCGGGAGCTGAGGACGGACACAGTGTGGAACAATAACAACCCCAGGTGGATGACACGACTGGACTTTGGGGATGTTCTCCTGACCACGGAGGGGCCCCTGAGGGTGCAGGTTTGGGACAAGGACTATGGCTGGGATGATGACCTCCTAGGTACCTGTGACCAGACCCCACATTCTGGCTTACATGAGGTGGGATGCAGCCTGAAACACGGTCATCTGAGATTCTCCTACCACGCCAAGTGCTTGCTGCACCTGGCAGGGAGAAGCTGCCTGGAGTACGCCCCCCAAGGACTTCTGGGGGACCCTCCGGGAAACCGGAGTGGGGCAGTCTGGTGAGAACGGTGGCCTTGAGAGCACCAGTATGCCCAGACTGAAGCAATTCTCATAGTGGGAGCCAGGCCCTATCTTCATAGCCCCATTAGACAGATGGAAACTGAGGCTTTTTTTCCCAGTGAGGTGACTGAATTTATAGGCCAGCCTGGGTCTCCCTGTCCAAACTGCCTTAGCTCTGTATTCTCAAACCCTGGAAATGAGCTGAGGCTGGGCCATGTCCTATAGCCACTGATAGACAGGCCGCAGCTTAAGGCAGAAGCTGGGCAGAAGGCCAGGAGGCTGCTCTGACCAGGCTGCTTGGTATCACTGGAGACCCTCCCCTGCAGCCCTTCCCAGCGTGCTCAATTCTTCATCACAGCAGCCCTAACCCCTTCTGGCCCCACTGCTGTTTTCTCTGTCTTTTTTTCCACCAAGCTTTGCTCCTCATATGAATCAAGGACTGCCTTGACCTGTCTTGTTGTATAAAAAGCCTGGCAGAGGACCAATAAATGTGCTGTAAGGATGGTGGCTGTGGTGGTGGCAATGGGGGGAACCAAACACAGCCCTGCAGATAAACTTCTACAGTTCGCAACCGTGGGATGTGGGACGGGTGGTTCACCCCAGGGGCAGGTAGGAAATGTAAATAAACTGGCCACTTTTGTTGGAAATGTGGAAACCCAGAATACTTTACTTTCCTCATAACTCTTTGATTCAAGGAACAGCAGCATACATGTAACAGACATTTAGCTCCCAACCAGGAGACAAGGAAGTGGTGGGGACCATGGTGAAGTGAAGGACGCAGGTCTCACCGGGCAGGCACTGCAGCTCTGCACCAGCCAAGCAGTCCCAGTCAGGAATGGGAGGCACTGCCAGGCCTTCTAGTTTCTTAAAGTCACCAGAAATCCTGATTTGACTTCTAACTGCTGGCAATTCATTTCACTTTGTAAAAATAAACTGATGTGGGAAAACGTGGCCCAGGCCAAAGAGAACATGCATGTGTGGCCATAACTGATCCAGAGCAATCAGTGTGAAACTCCAGTTTCAAGAGAACCCTTTTGGCAAGCTTTCCCCATCCCACAATTTGAAGGAAGAAGGCAGTTCTTCCAACACAGTGTCAAGGGCCTCCTGCTTTGGCATGCAGTAAATCCCAGTGTCTCAGGTTCTGATATAAAATGAAATGGTCTTTAGTTCATGTGCTTGGGACACAGACCTCATAACCCAAGACGACAGGGTGGAGGGCGAGATTCAGGGAACCTCCTAGACCTGGTAGGATCTGGCTGTGAAGGGCAGTTGTCAGAGGAGCTCGGAGTTGCTGGCAGGGCTCTCTTGACTCTCTCTGAACCTCCCTACAAATTAAGCCCTTTGAGGTTTGTGTGGACTCATGGGCCTAAAAGCCCAGGAGTGATATTACACTGACCCTGAGTCCCCAGGTGGGGCAGAGGGAATGGCAAGCTCAAAAAGCCTGGTTGAAACTGCTGTTCTTACACCTTTCTGTTCACAGCCACACACAAAAACAAAAGCACTAGAGGAACCTTGAAACCATGCTGGCTACTGTGCTAATCAAAAGCATGGATGTGGGCCATACCCCTTGGGGAAAGCAGGGGCAGGGCAGGCCTTGCTTGGGGCACAGCTCTGAAGAGACGGGAGTCTTGTTTAAGCACACATGTCATCAGTGACCTCCAGCAAGTCCCTCTGCTCCCTGGGCTTTGGTTTCCAAAAGGACAATCTGTTCAACCCCCTGTTTGGAAGGTCAGTGCTAGAGAAGGGGCCCTGCAAGCTCATCTGGCTTAATGGTCTTATATATAGGGCAACTGAGGCCAGAAGAAGGGATTTAGCTGTGGTTACAGAGGTTAGTGGCGGAGCCTGCTCTCTTTGCATCCTGGCACCTCACTCCTAGCACAGCTCCGCAGAGACCACGAGGACCTGGTGAGAAGGGCCCTTTGGGAAAAGGTGTGTATGACCAGGAGGAGTGGCCTGAGGTTGAGGGGCAGCTGCAGAGCCGTGAACCCTCAGCCCTAACTCAAGTCCCAACATGATGTGCCCGTTTCCATCCTGCTTGGACACTGGTATACTCTGTCACACTCGGGGCCCCTGGTTTGCTCAGAAAATTCCCGCTATGCCAGGTATCTTCTATTTGCCTCTGGGTCTGGTCCTCACCCTGCTCTGGCCTGAGGCTGACCTATCTGGAGCTCTGTCAGCCGGCAGAAGACTGGAGAGAGGAGGGGAGAGGGAGAGATCAGGGCATTCACTCCCCTCAGTGTCTCTCAGTGAGGCGGCCTTGGCCTCTCTGTATGTCCCTGTGTCACTGCTCCTCTGAAGGCTTCTGCACGTCTCTTTCCAGGTTCCAGCAGCTGCCCCCTCCCCTCAACCCCCAGGCCTCTGGATGCTAACAGCTCCACCACTACTAACCCTGAGCTGTTAACCCTGTCGCTTGTGCTTCTCTGGAGCCCCCTACACCTTTGTGAGTGGGCCTATTATAAACAAACCCTATACAAATTATTGTAATTTGACTATGCCACTGGCTTTTGCTATGGTCTGAATGTTTGTGTCCCCCCAAAATTCATATGTTGTAATCATAACCCCCAAGGTGATGGTATCAGGAGGTGGGGCCTTGGGGAGGTGATTAGGTCATGAAGGTGAAGCCCTCAGGAATGGGATTCGTGCCCTTACCATAGGGACCCCAGAGAGCCCCTGGCTCCTGCTCCTTCATGGGGACACTGTGAGAAGGTGTCTTCTATGAATCAGAAAGCAGGCCTACCGAATCTGCCAAGACCTGCACTTGGCCTTCCAGCCTCCAGAACTGTGAGAAATCAATTTCTGTTGTTTGTAAGCCACCTGATCTGTGGTGCATTGTCAGAGCAGCCGGAAAGCACAGAGCTGGGTTCCTAAGGGGATCCTGACGACACACCTGTGAGTGCTGCTGGCAGTCAGAGCCACCTCCCACTGGGAGCTGCAAAGGTCAGGAAGCAGGGTAGCATTCAGGCTAGGGGACTCACTGGGGTTGCTTCTCTCTCCCTCCCTCCCCCTGCTCCCTCCTCTCTCCCCACCACCTCTCTCCCTCTCCATGCCCCCTTCTCTCTTTCCCTCCCTCTCCCTCTCTCTGTCCCTCCCCTTCCTCTTTCTCTCTGTCCCTCCCCCCTCCCCAAACCTCTCTCTCTCAGTCCAAGTGATCTCTTCCAAGATTTTGGGCTGGTGGGAATGACAGCCCAGTATTTGTTTTATGAGCAGTTACCACACGAACCTTCATGTCCCTTCAAACACACTTTGTGGTCTCTGAGGTGCAGCCCCAGCGGCCATGGAGGCTGTCGGTGTCTCCGTGTGTGAGCAGAGGGCCTGCTGGAGGACAGGCAGTACGGGGGTGGAGAGGCCCTAAGGGAGGTGCAGGGGGCCCCTTGCAGCTTTGGGAGGCTGTGAATCCTCTCTACATGTGCGTTCCCCCACATCTGTCACCGAGGGCAGCCATTTCTGCATGCTCACATTTGTCCCCTTCTGCCCATAACCGTAGCCTCTCTAGCCGGTGCCACCAAACTCTAGTCTTCCTGTTGCTTCCTCACTGAACTCTAGGCTGTCTGCCCCTCAGTCCCTCCACCCAACAGCCACCGTGGTGCGGGCCCCCTGCCCATATCCTCTCAGCCCAACTCCGAGCAGGCCCCTGCGTCTCTGCCTAAGGGCCCACACTGGAGCCCACTCGGCCCACCCCAAGGGAAGGCCAGAAGCACTGGGGAACAGTGCCCATGCCCCACCCAGCCCAGGACGGCCTTCAACCAAGGCTGATGGGAAGTGATACATAAATACCTTGATGCACATATTCTACAGTGGCTCTGAGTTCCCCAGCAGGGCTAATGCAGTACCCACAATGGTGACTGGCTTGACCACACATGCCCTCTTGGCTATCTCCCTTTCCTGTCTCAATTCCGCACATCCCTGCTGGTATTTTCTGGAATCAGTACCCACAGAAACTACCTGCCTGTGAATCCCTGAGTCTCAAGGTTTGCCCCTGGGAAAGTCAGCTAAAGACACTCACCTGACCACATCATCGCCTTATTTAAAACTCTTTACTGGTTCCTTGTGGCTCGAGGGATAAAACTCAAAGCCCCTAATGTGACCCACATTCTGACTTCACTCTCAAATCTGCTCCCCTCCCTAAGCCCTGCTTCACTGAGCTAACTGGTTCCTCTGTTGGCCATACTCACGGCCTCCTCTTTCTGGAACTCTTCTCCTCCACCCTAAGTCTTCCTCAGCCTTCTGCTTCAAGGGTGGCTTTCTCCAGGAAGCCTTCCTGTGCTTTCAGGGCTAGGCCAGGATCCCTGTGCCCCCTCCCATGATCCTCAGTATTTCTCTACCCCAACACTTAGAGGCCTGAACCATTTCTATCCTAGTCACAGCTGAATCAACAAGTCCAGCCCCCGGCACACATTTGATGCTCAAAAAATCTTGGAGGGATGACTAGATGGTAAGTGAATGAATCAATGAATCAGTGAAATCTACCAAAGAACCTTCCAGCCTCTGCTTGAACACTCCCAGAGGCAGACCGCTCATTACCTCCAGAGGTAGCTGTTGTACATGTATGAGGTTCTAACCATGAGCCACCATGTGACACAGAAACCTGCCTCCTTGTAATGCCCAGGCCTGGGGGTGGATCAGGGATTCTGTGTATCTAAATTTTTGGTCCTGTCTCTGACTTGGTGGGCAAAAGGACCACTAGACAGATTGTAGTCCAGGCAACAGCTACCCTTCACTCCTCCCTCTGTGAAGGAGCACAGAAGGGCCACACACTGCCTGGTGGAGGGGGACGTGGGACTGGGCCAGCTGTCCCCATCTCTGTTACTGGCAACAGAAGCAAGAACCTCTCATGGAAGATGAAAGACAGCTCTTGACTGTTATCTACACAGACCTTGTTTCTCAGGAGACCTGGTCACAACTGAGTCAATTCCAGCTGGGGCAGCTCTTTCATAGCCTAGGCAAGTTGTGACCCCCTTAACCTTCTGCCAGTCCTGCCCCACTGCCTTTGAGGTCCTTTCTAGCCAAGACTTCCTAGCACAGGGAGCCTCATACACAGGCAGGGACAGACTGTGTCTCCCTGGCTTGTTGCTTTTCAGCATGGGGAGTGGGTCTAGTGCAGCTGAAACCAGGGTCACAGGTGAGAGTCTCATGGGGTGGTTGGGGTCAGTGTCACACAAAAAGATAGATCAACCTCCCTCACAGACAGGACAGGACCCTCTGAGCAGCCAAGGAGTAACACTGGACCCAGGCCACAGATGAGATGATCCCAGCCACACATTCACCCCAGACTAGCCAAAGGTAGATCGACTGATCATCTGATCCTTGAATTTGATCCAGGACTGAGCCTCAACACCAATCAGTTCTTTCTAGTACCCTGCAATCACATAAAACCCCCTGCAGATCAGACCCCAGGGTCCCAGGTGTAAAATGAGGAGCTGCAACAATGACCTCTGCACCGCTTTCCCTCTGGGAGGCGCTAGACCGCCTAGTCCGTGACACTCAGGGTATGTGGCTGAGTGGCCCCAAGAGCCCTATCACCCCGAATCTGCTGGGGGTGCGGGGGGCATACCCTGTGAGCCCCGACTTCCCATACTTGGAGGCAGCCAGGCTCCATTTGCCTTTCTCTTCCCAAAGGCCCAGACCCGCGACCCCGGCAGGCCGGAAC